ACGGTATCAGAAAGGAGAAAGACCCATCTCGTTCCTACCACTGGTTAATTTCTCCTTACTCCATCAGTAACCAATCATCAATAGTAGAGCAAGGCAGGCGGAGGCGGGATCTTTCTACCACTCGCCACTAGGGCAGCACATGCGTTGGGAGTTTGGTCGAATCCGTACGATCCCCCCCCCCGCCCCCGGTCCCAACCAACGCCGCTCTGTCGATGATTCCTTCAGGTCCAGGGAAAGGCGTCCCGTTTCCATTACTGTTTTCGGCATATGAGTTGGCCACGGATAGCTTGCTACGCTCTATTGTGGTACCTCAAGCATTGGCCGCTTGAAGCCGTAAAACCATCACGCTACGTTGAGGCAGTCAGTAAAATTTTGTGGGGGATGGCGGCGTTCTCAACAATAAAAGGAAAGAACTCAGGGAGCAGTCACCATTAAGGAATCCACATGGGGTAGCCAGCTGTTAGGTAGAGGAGAGGTTGCAATGGTTCAATTGAGATTTTTTTTTCACTGTTTGTTTTTGCAGTTCCGCTTATATACATGTCCCTCCCCCTCCTCAAATGTTGGTCCGCACCGACTCTCCTCACGGATCTTGGCTGCAGGGGATGCCATATTGAGGAAGTTCAGCCGTGCACCATGGTCTACCCTACTCAAAATGCTTTTTTGGGGCGACCACAGCCACTGCGCTTTCTTCCGGTGTAGAATTATTTCCATTCGTTCGGAAGAGCTCGTTTCCAAAGCTTCAACATTTTTTATTTTTTCTACTTATCAAATGCATAGAATTTGGATGCTTTTTCAATCAAGATTAACGTCGATGAACCCTCTGGTTCACGCAATCAAGAGCTCAGAGCCGATACAAGCATTGTTCTCCATGAACCGTGGTTTGTGCCGAAACCAGATTCAAGAAAGGAAGACGACGGAGTTCTCCTCATTCGAGCCCTGGATGTCGTCGAAACAAAGTACCGGCTTGGTTGAATAAGTTGCACGGAGGCAAACATATGGCGTCAGGCTTTATGCTCATATTCAGCGATGCTTCTCGTAATCGATGCGGAAACCATGAAAGAGATTGGTCGGGCGTTTGTTCCCATATCAATTCCGTTTGGCTTCCACAACAGGTAATTTCTAATACAGTCACGCAAGTTTTATTTCTCTCTTTTTGTCACGAGGTTTTACGAGTTCCTTTCAGAGTATTCTCAGTATTAGGGTAACTCAGCAGTGAAGAACAGGGCTCATCATTAGTTGGTTATTCTGGTCGAATCCGTACAACCCCTCCCCTCCTTATTTTGAGGTGTTGATAGAACCCCCCCCCCTGGTTCGCGTCCTCATCAACGTCGAGAGTAGGGGGAACACGATCCTCCTCTCTACCATTTTTTAGATGTTTTTCCACTTCCTACCACTTTTTCCGAAATTTTCCGAAAATTTTCCTACCTCTACCGAAAAATTTGTGTAGAGGGGGGGCGGCAAGCGCTTTCTCAACCAAACTCACCCAAAACGCCTTTGTCCCCTCCCCAGCATTTCTGTATACCAACCTCGAGGCGCGCAAAAATGCCGCCCCGAAAATGTTGCGAATAATAAGTCACCTTATATTCCACACAGACGGGGTGGATTAGATGGCGAAATGTTGAAGAGAGACAGAATGCTTTGGTGGGTTAGCGTGCAATTCTCCAAGGTTGGGCCAAGATTCATCGGACAAGGAGGAAGGCATGAAGGGGTTGACCAATACCGAAGTTTCTACCAAAATCTTCGTAGCCACAACAGAAGGACAAAACACTGTTGAGCATTGCCGTGATTTCGAGACCAGAAGAGTTGGAATCTACTCAGGGCACATCGCCGTTGGGGATTCCACTTCGGGGGCGTCGCATTTGGTCGCTGGCGGGAGGGTTTCCGTATTTTGGTCTGATAAAAACTTTTTTTTCGATAGTGATTTTCTTGCATCTTACGGACGCTATAAGGGGGAGGATCGTAGTTGGTTGTTGTTGGGGAAGTGTAAGGGCTCGTATTCGCCCTTGTGGTGTTAGGAAGAATTTTTTCCGGCTGTGAACTTCTCGCGGTTTTTCCTGTTTTACGTATGCTATAAACCCCCGCTCGACAGCTCGATCAGAGGAAGGAGTTAGTGGGGGTCGTATCAAGCCACCTTCTAGGGGTGAGGGTCGTACAAACGCGACCAAAATCCCCAACTATTGGTGTGCCCTGAATCTACTTCAAGTCACGCAAGCATTTTTGTCAAAGATCATCCCTCCATATAGCCTCTTTTTCTGATTCAGGTTCTACTCAAAGGTTGATCTCGGCTTACCGGAAGGCTTCTCTGTGAACAACGTTGTTAATCACTTCAGACCATCTGAGACTAAGGTTTGCTTCAAGGGTTCATGATCTCTCCAAGCGTCTTCAACATTCTTTCAGATGGGCTATGTGACGCTGCCACTGAGGAAGATTAGCACTTCTCACTCCCCTACGACTAGCTCCACCTTCGCCCCATCAACACAGACTACAAGAAGATTCGAGACAATAAAAGTCGAATCCCCGAAGACCACTCACAGCGAGGCTCCAGCGACAGTCACGACCCAAGCATGGACACCACCAACTACGCAGGCGAGAACAACGACCGGTGAGGCACAAACTACGACTCTCTCTTGTCATCCTTGATTGCACTCATCTTTTTGCAGCTGAGACTACTAGGCTGACAACAGCTAGCATTCCACGATGGTGGCCACTAGGTACGACTAAGGAGCCTTTGTGGTGGCAAAATGTGAAGGAATTACAGTCCAAGTCCACGAAAACTCTACCTACAAGAACAGAGGTGGGCAAAATGATGTCGATTGGTGATCCCAATCGCCATCGGTCTTTGTCTTTTCTTTGTCAATCCTGGTGATCAGCTGCGAGTGACGTAGCCCTCTATTTAACAATCCGAATTGCGATTTTTGAAGAACCCGGGCACGCAAATACAGCAGAGGGCAGAGGTCTCAACTTCTGAGCGCTAAGATTTTCGCCAAAATTTTCAAATTTCTTTCAGCTTAGCTTCTCTGCTTAGCTTTATTTCTATTAACCTAACATTAGCTATTCCCAACTACCTAACCATTAACTACTTACCATTAAATTTCTGCCACTTATGAGAGTCGAGCCTAAATCTTGTTCGACGGAGCCTACGATCTCCTTTACACCAGGTGTGACCACTGTTTCCAAGCGCGTAATGTACACTATTTCAGAACAAAATTATTTCGCCAAAATCGGTGATCTTCCCTGACAACAGCGTGAATT